GTTGCTGAACATTCTCATCATCTCAAAAGGAAACCCCGTAATCATTAGCAGGCACTTCCCATTTTGCCCTTCCTCTAGTTCCTGACTACCACTAACCCTCTGTTTTGTTTCAGTTTGCCTATTCTAAATATTTCATATAAACAGAATATATAATACACGACGTTCTTAGGATAACATTCTCAGGGTTCATCGATGTTGTAGCATGTATCAGTCACTACTCATTCCTTTTATGGGTGAATAATATTCTGTTGTATAGATATAACATACGGTTTATCTGTTCATCAGTTGATAAGCATTTGGGTTGTTTGCATTTTTTGGCAGCAGAATAATTCTATCACTATTCTTATACAAGCTTCTGTGAGGACATATGTTTTCATTTCTTTGGGTATATACCTAAGAGGAGAGTTGTAAGGTGATATAGTAACTGTTTAACTTTTTGAGGAACCCAAAACTATTTTCCAAAGCAGCTACACCATTTTACATTCTCAGCAGCAGCATATCAAGTTACACATTAACTCTTAATCTTCACAATAACCTTAAGAGTTGGATTTAATTATTATCCTCATTGTATGTATAGGTGGGGAAACTAACTAAAAGGGGGTGAAGTAAATTTTCCAAAAATCACAGAGCTAAGAAATGACAGAATCAGGATTTTAAAAGGCAGCCTGGCTCCAGGGTCTGTTCTCTTAACTGTAACACAGTACGTACAGGATCAGAAGTGACTTCTCAGTATTAGAAGTTAGAGTGTATATAACTTTAAATCAATTTGTATATCAATGTTCAGCTTCAAAGATTGTTCTCAGATTCCATCTTATGATATTTAACATGCAAATCAACATATCTAAACTCATCTATGAAAATTATCTCCTGTAGTAAGAAGAAAAAGAGCAAAGAGAAGAAGAGAAAAAGAGACGAAGATGAAGAAACTCAACTTGATATTGTTGGTGAGTCAGTTCCCCGTACTTTATTCGGAGAGCATTAGTTGAGATCCCTTTAAAAATATTTTCCTAGTTAGGGATAATCAGTGAAAAGAAAGTGGAAGGAATTTATAACTAACCGCTATTTGTCTTAAAGAGCCCAACTATTACTTACAGTTGTAGATTGCTTTTATGCTCTAGCACAATGGATGTCACTGATGTCTTTTTCATTATTAGAACAAAGCATAGGAGAGAGGACACACAGCTCTCTGATTTAAAAGGTACCATCATTAGACTTTGTAATAATCCAGCGATTCTGATACATCATTTTAAAGGGCTGATATAGATAAATATTATTTAACCAAATATAGGTTACAAATTTTTTTTTCATATTGCAATCCAGTTGTTCCAACATCGCTGTAGAATAGACTTTCTTACTTCATTAAAGTGCTTTGGTATCTTTGTCAAAAATCAATTGACTTTATATGTGTTGGTCTGTTTCTGGACTCTGTCCTATCGATTTCTCTATTCTTTTGATATATTCGTCTTGTTTACTGTCATTTCATAAAGTCTTGAAATCAAGTGGTGTGAGTCTTGCTTTGACCCTTCTAGATCCTTGCATTTCCATACAAATTTTACAATCAATATATTACCTTCCACAGTAAATCATCTTGGATTGTCTGGGTGAACTGTATTGAATGTAGGTCATTTGGGGAGAAACAACCTCTTAATAACATTGACTCTCAATAATTTGCAGTTTTCATTATACACATCTTTTTAAAATTATAAATTATTTTATAATTTTACATTACTTGTAAAGAGAATTTTTAAATCTTATTTTCCAATTGTTTGCTGTTAAAACATAGATGTATAATTGATTTTTGTATATGGACTCTGTAGTCTGAGATACAAGTAAATTCATTAGTTTTAGTATTTTTGTTTGTTTATATAAAAAACTAAGAAATCTGCAGTCATATTTACTGCAGATAGTTTTACTTCTTCCTTTCCAATCTTTGTTTCTTTATTTCTTTTTATTACCTTATTGCACTACCAGGACTTCTACCATGTTAATCAAAGT